TTTTTCGTCTTGGTGAATTTTCTCACACGCTGATTTGTTTAAGGGAAAAGCAAACACAGAAAAATGAATGCTATCGGATACTTCACGTTATGCGAAAAAAGTTTCACCTGGCGGCTTTTCGGCTACGACCACTGCGTCAGCCGAACTTCTTGTGCCGGTAACAATGATGATACTTTTTAAATTGTGTTTACTTATAAGCCACCCCTTCCTGCATTCACCGACCGTAGCCTCAATGGTGTGGGCTTTGTTTATGTTCCAGTGAAAGAGCCTTATGAATGCGCTCGTTTAACTGCGACATTTCATTAGGGTTTTGCAATCCATTCAAATCGCCATCAATTTTTCTTTTCACATAAACACAACCAAACGTTTTTTTGCAGCAAAATGGAAACTTATAAAAATAATTTATGTATGCTACTTTATGACTGAGTTTTACTTGCCTCTATAGTTTCGCATCATCGTTGAAGTCAAATGCGCAAAGTAGTGGAAATCCGGATTCCAATTTTTCGTTCAAATACACTCACTGTTTGGGCAAGTACATACTGGAAGCGCAAAACAAGGGAAATGAGAATAATCTCACATGTCTATGCTTCCTAAGCTTCAAATGCATCCAAACTTTTCTCCACAACTCTTAGTCGTATTTTGACCAAAAACGTTGTGTTTAAACAATTAGCCTAGAATGGAACAAGATAAATATGCCATCCTAACCCTCATCAGGGTGGAATGACATTACCGACAGATACAAGGAAGACTGGAAAGGCCATTTCGAGCCAGCCATAACAAATCTAGGATTTCAACCCGCGACCTGTTAGTTAGAAGTCCAAAGCTCTAACCCTCTGCGCCACGGGACGAGGGAGTCCTGTAACCGATTTATGAGCAACTTTCTACCATTGTTAATATTTTCGATCGAAACCGACAAGACAACTAGCCCGTTTTGATGGAGGCTTAGGCCTTGGAATTCTAATCAACGGGTGGCAGGTTCGAGCCCCAGGTACCGCGACACATGGGGCTGAGTATGGCTGACTGATGATGTCTTGTGAGCCAGATATGGTCATTCATCATCTAGCCACTGTGCAGCTGCTGCTGAGATTCGAGAGTGAGCCCCAAAGTGGAACGGAAGGAGTGATTCCTATAACCGATCGGTGAGCGCCCATCTACCGTCCATCTACTTTTTCAAGCTATCAACTCGGATCTCTCAATTTTGCCAATCTGAGGGTTTTAGGTTAATAGTTATTCCTTAGGAGATTTTGTTCCGCGCACTTTATCGCATTGACTACCTTTATTTCCTGTTGATCCCCCACTTTGATGCACAGCTTCTGTGCTACGTTAACCCCCTCTAGACCATCATGTGTGGTAGGAGAGAGCAAGCAATGTATCGATTTCATCACAGTATGATAAAGAAAGTGCTTGTATTCATGCCCCCAAAATTTTAAAAATCTTTGTTGTAGGAATAAAGACCGTGGGTATTAATGAATCAGGCAACTGAATAATCGGCTCACATCCTTATACGGGCCGGACTTTTAGAGACACTCACCGTAAATGGTCTCCTTTTTAGGACTACTACCCCACTTATTTGGGATGCTACTTGACAGTTTTCTTAATGACCGGGTGAGAAGATAGGGTGCATTTTTAATGGACAAAAAAGCCCTTTATGCTGATGTCTAACCGACTGAACGACCACACCACATAGCTGCCGAAAATAGTGATGACACTGACGGCCTCGCGACCGATGACAGATGAAGCAAGGGTTGCGAACGTCTGAGAAGAAATGAACGCCTCACTTGTGACGTCTTTAGCTAATTTATGCCTAGTTTATTGGTTCTAGATAGTGGTATTCGGCACGGTTGTCAATTTACCTCGCTTGTTTACACAAAAAAACTGTGAGGAAGTATCTACCACGCGCTTTCCGGCAACGCATGTTGACCACTTTTCTTTTGTTTCTGTTGTCACTGCCGATTTTCCGCCCCTCCTCTTGGTAGGCGTTCATCCACCTAACGCTGAACATGGGACTTGAGAGAGTAGAAACGAGTATGCAGGTTTGCTCCACCACCTTGCTAACTGCGAGTGCTTCAGGGACTGACTCCTTGTCCTTGACGCGTGCCATCACCACGTGAAGTGCTCTGGATATCCAAACTTCAACATAATTCTCTAGAATCCACCACGATTTAAAGTGTCAGGTCCATAAGGATGGTATAGAAGCTGCTACGTATGCCCTGCCGGTCAGAAAGCTGCGAAGATCATGTTCGTGGTTCTATTTTATTTGCGAAGTCTGCACTGCATTTCTGGTAGAAGTCTCTGTCCGGTTGTGTGTTCAGCCAAAAGACAAGGACAGGGGGCCAATATTTTGTCTGCGGTATTTAGAATGGATATGCCACTGAGGTTAATAAATATATACCGTTATCCTTTGCATGCGTAAACGTGCGCTACGTTGACATCCTTGAAGTGTTAGGGGAATATATCCTTGTCCCCACATCCTTCGATATGGTTCAGTAAATGTTTCTATGACTTCCTTCTTTGACTTGTAAATTTCGATTGAAATTGCGTCGGCCGCCGGGCTTTATTGAACGGCTGTTTTACTGTTCTGCTGGTCTCTCGAAGGTGTGACAGAGGTCAAGGTCGTCGTTTGGATTCACTGGAGGAAGTTCATTAATGGCTTCTTCACAAATTGTGGCCGGAGGGTTAAGGTGCCCCGGTAGTGCGCGGCCTAGCGCTCCATCATTTGTGACTTATCCGTCAGAAGGACTGCTCCATCTATGCCTAGCGTTGACGCAGTCTGCCCGGCTTGAAGAACGTAAAACACTCTGTTCACCCTGAAGAAATTTCTATCATGTTGTAGTCGGTATGTCCCTGGAGGACAGCATAATCAAGTTGTGCTATCAAAACCTTTCTGGATATTTCATAAAAAGGGCAGCCTTACGCTTTTTTTAAGCAAATTATGATAAGCATTTATGGTATGATGGTGGATGACTGATGGCTATTGATGCTGCATGATGGTAAGACAACTATTCATCTCTACGTACAATGAAGGAAAGTTTATAAAAAGGACAACTTAAAACTTCATTGAACTACCAAATTAAGAAGATTCTAGGTATCCATCTCCCGTCCTTTGGTAGGGCAAACATGCAACTTTTCAAAATTATCGCTTGATACCTAACAAATTATGGTATGATCATTAGATCCAGTTTCATGTATTTTTTCTCGGAACTCTAATTATCTAGATTTGGAAGTTCATTAAAAAAACCGGCCGAAAAGTGCACTGTTTCGAAACGACTAGCGACCATAGCACACCTTCGTCAACATTTGTCATCAATATCTGATTCGAAGTTATAAGAACACGAGTTCCCCTAAAACTTAAATGCTTGCTTAAATTTAAGGGACTAGAGCAAAACAAAGACTTCCTTCGTAAATGGTCAGGCGAGGACAGTGAGTTTGCATTAGTGAGTAAGTGTGATTACATTGCAAAATTGACTCTATCCGTACAGCAGGCGCCACATTTAAGCAAGAAAATCTAGAGAAAGATCAAACATATGTTAAAATGAAAGTAATGATTCATGTTAAGCCATTCTAGGATTCCGGAAGATCGTAAGAAGGTTAACTGAACGATTACAGGCTAAAGTCGCACACTTTCAGACCGAACAGGTAGTTATGTGTTCATGCGAAGTGACAAAAGGCGTCTCAGATGTTTACGCGAACGGATAATTAGGCCGACCGTTTAATTGTTCCGAAAGGTTTTTTGCCGACTATGGAGTGATAAACCGTACTTCAGTGTCAGTTAAAGAAGCGAGAGCGATTGCCAGTACAGTGACACAAGTACTGTGACCCGTGCGGAGCTCCAAGACCAGAAAAAATTATTAGCGGAATGTGCCCGGATTCCCAATTGCCCGCCACCTTTCTTCACAAGTGAAACGCCTAGTTAGGTATCAGAGACTGTTTTTGAATCAGTTTCTGGTTAGACCAAGCGCTCGGGTCGCGGGTCTCGGCTCTCAATCTCTTTCTTTTCAAAAAGAAGTTCGGGATTCGCTTTTTCCGTGTCTCTGAATGTTAGACGCCTCTCGCAAGGCCGTCTTCGTCGTCTGTGTAGACTTTTATCAAGGCATTTATGAAGAACTATCGACTTTGCACCACTCATGTTGAAAGAGGTTTCTGGATCAACACTATCATCCGAGCAACCTCTCATGTTTTTTGAGCTTACCCTCAAACACCTCAATTTGGCACACCTAGGTATTAATAATCGCAAACAGTGGCATCTCTTTTGCCAAACAAGCTTGATATAAATGAATTAGAAACTTTTGGACCAGGAGACTTCCGGCACCTTCTGGTAGTCTTTAGATGTATTGTAACGAGTACCATCCGTCGGATCATCCGCCGTATATTTTTAGCAATCTAAAAATAGCAAAAATACTTGTAAATCTTTCTATCTTTTAAATGAACGTCATTAGATTGCCAAGCATCCTGTTCCCATCCCAAAGGTTTGTGCTTTTTGTTCGACTGGGAAATTGCGTTTCGTTATGCTGAGATGGTTCCTCTTAAACTTAAGACGTAGTCCATGGTGTAAGAGATTTAGTCGCATGCAATCCCTGTTTAACTTATCGTGGGGCATTTGGAATTATTCCGCTTTCATATGCAAACCAGGAGCTGATACAACACAGCCACCGATCGTTATTTCCGCTTTCCTTTCTTTACGTTTGGATGGTGAGCATGGTCGATATAAATAGTTGTGTTAGTTATGCCTCTTATTAGACCCCCTTTAGTTTTCCAATACGCGCTTTGTAGTGAGAAACAAATCTTAAGAAGCGTTTTAATCGAACTCTCACCACGCAACGATAGTTTTTATTTTTTCCATCTTTCGAAACGTTAGACAAATCTGTCTGTTTACTTTATTTGGAATCATACGGCATACTTTTCGCTTAGCCTTCCTTAAAACTCACCGATTGTCGCATTTAAGGCACACTACTTCTGCCGGTGCCCCGATGGTAATAAAAAGGAGGAAAATCATATGCCGTTGACGTTGGAAATAGTTGCACACCACCCATAGAGTCTCACGATGGACGGTGACCTCACGGAGTTCAGAAAGCCAGCCAGCATTTTAAGGTTTACGGCAATTTTGGTCTGATGCTGTTCCAGGCCTGTCTTTCCTTCACAGTATTACAGGTTGCCGGCAGAGGGTGAGCGCTTTAGTCGCGTAATGCACTCAAACTAGATTCAATAGCTTGACTCCCGTCAGTTAGCCATAGTCGTCTTGCGGTTTAAACCGACTGTTGATTGGTTTCGAAGTGTTGGTTGAAACCAAAGCATTTGTTCAAAGTTGAGAAGCAAAAAAAGGAAAAAATAAAAACAAATTGAAGAATTTTAAATGAGGAAGGATAAACAACGCGTGGCATACTGCGGTAAGCTTCACTTTCAAGAGAAATTCAGTTAAGCAGCTTCGTGGGCCGCTACTCCAACATACATTCCTCTAGAGATATCAGAATCTAGAGTAAAGTTCTCAGGTTCCCAACCCATTGTACCCCTCTGTCAGGAGAGTCCGGTCCTGTCTATTGACATGTGAAAAGAAAGTTCTGGTTTACTGAAACCACTTTTGCGACTGCTTCGGACGGCTACGCTAACGTACCTCTCTATATGTTTATGGTTGAAAACTTCGGTATCTGTTAGCTATTGACAGCAAGAAACCCAAGGAAATTTTGTTGGATATTTTTCTCTTTTGTTCTTCCGACACTTGGTTCAAGAATATGGAGAATAACGTGATTTCAGCAAGCATTTTATCAAATACATTTTTGCTAAACCTAAGCTAACGCTATACAAGTTCTTCTACCTCATTGGTTGACTGCTTGCATATGACCAATTTATGGTAAGCCGGTAATCTGACTAACTCAGAATGTTAGCAGTCTCGTAAGGTGCATTTTGTTTCTTTCGAAAGAGCAAATCGCTCGAATTAGTGAGTTTATGCTAAAACCGAGAGCTAATATATGCATTTAATTTTTCTTGCGATGACCCTGTGCGGCCCTAGCCAAGTTTAACATGAATATCGGATAAATGAAGATAGGAGAAAATGTATTACATCGGAAAAGCGGAATGTGTTTTTCTACTCCTAAACACTGTTTGTTACAATTCAGGCTTGACAAGCATCACATTTCGCGACATTGACACTTCCGGTTGTGTACTTTTTGCTTGCCATAATAATCAGTCCTTGAATACGCTTGCTCGGAAAGTTAGAGCCTGCCTCCGGTAGAACGATGGCCATGCTCTTGCAAGTTGTCGAAATGTGTGATTATGTGAGGGTAATGTCTGCCCGACTTGGTATTGGTATTGCGTTTTCTAGCCTGCAAATGATAACCCTCTTTGTCCTTAATCATAAAGAAGATCTTGCAGGTGTTTTTACTCTATACACTCGTCGGGATACAGCCTCATTCTATCCGTTTTGGGTGAATTTATTCTAGTTAATTAGTCATACGTCGATGCTTTTGATATAACATACTAAGCGACCTCTGTCCAACTGCCAGAGAAGTCAGTATCATTGACTTTGGATGGAGCAACATGTCGTTTCGTTTTCCGCCCGGCCTGAGTTAGAGTTGATGCAGGTTTATTTGAAAAAATATTTAACTCTTGTGAAGAACTCATTACCGGTAGTGCATGTTCAATTAAAGCCAAGCGCGTGATATCAAAAGAGTACTTTAAAATTCTTTTGATATGCCGCTTATTGCCCAATTACTAATTTTGAGATTTGCATGTCGAAATATCATCATGTGTCCCGACATTCACTCTTAAATATTCCACGTCCAGTAAAATGGAAAGATAGAGGCTAGCCGTCGAACTGAGACAAATAACAATAAAAATCGTCGTTTTTTAGGTACATTTGCTACTGATAATATATTTCTATTTTAATCTGTTGTAAGAGGTCCTTGAAGTTATGGAACTACTTTTTTTCAGCACAAACCACCAACAGGGATGAATAATTGACCTTAGTTAACCGCCCTACTGTGAAACGAGTAAAGTATGTATGAGGATTTATTGTGAATCCGCCAGTAGAGGCATAGCCGTGGGCGGCTTTTCTGCTCCACGAAAGGTTTTAATGAGCGTTGAGTGTTACCTGCTGGTTTTACTTTTTATCATCAAATAGTTGGGACGAGCTCCTCGTTGGCGCGCCCTTCCAACGCATTCGTGAGCCAAAAAATGCAGATTCGAGAGGACAGACGGCTGAACGTGAAGGCGAAAGCGTCCTCCGGAACGAAGACTCTCAATCCAAAACTGAAACTGTAGCCTCGGGGACTACAGTTCCGGAGGCGCCCTTCGGTTGTGTCTATATTTTCTGGAATATGAAGCAGCGGATGCCCGACCTGGCGACTTCTCCACCTTTCAGCTTCGATGCCGTTCAGCTGCTGGAAGCACCGGCAGAGTTGTCGCCACGGAGTGGCTTCGGTGCGGCGATAACCCGGTTGGGTGATATAAATCACGATGGCATTGATGGTACGTTGTTTTCAGTTTGTCTTAGGTGATTAGCGGAAGCTCTGTGTGTCTGCACTGGCGCTCTATAAATCATATAAGTAGTTCTTAAGCCGGCGTTTCCAAGGAATGCGTGGCCTACACTAGTGACAGGATGACGCTGCTTCCTGTGCGCGGCTTTCATCTTATGTATGAATCGGGCTTCAATAGACCCTCGACAGTTTACTTCACAGTCCCGAGTCTTTTTGTCCTTTTCTGATATTTATACAGGTTCTTTATAGGTTCATTTTCCTTCGAACCCTCATTGTCATGTCAGTGTGAAAATTGTTTTCTGAACCATCTGTGGACGGCAAATTGTTAAGTAACCTATATTGTATCAATATGTAAATATCTATGCACGTCTGACGAACATTTGACTTGCTTTTCATCGGAGATTTAAATGGCAACAAAGCTGCTTCTTTTAAGGGAAATTTATCACCTTGAAACTTTATTGTAGAAGCGTGCCTAACGTGCTTTTTGTCTTCATCTGAGGGGGAGGAGCTCGCTTTTGCACGAATATCTGCAGTTTCGCGATACATTATTTAGTTTGGAACAGTACACTAAACATTATTGACCCTAAATCATATATCAGCCCATTTTTGTTGAGCCTAACCGTTACAGCACAGCATTTTATTCCCGAAAGTCAGGTCCAACTGTTTTTCTACCCTTTTCAGTGTCAAGGAAGCTCCTACTCTTGAGTTTCAGCTCTAGCAATAGAAGCGGATTTGACTGTCATCTCGACACTCGCAGATCCGGTGTTTTTGCTCCCACCCCAAAAAACCTGTTCTCTGTACCTGAGGCGCAGACAGTTTTAAGGCAAGGTAGAATAGGCAGCGTAGGACCTGGCACAATGTCTCTCCGTTGCGCGTGTGGTTTGCGTCTCTTGAACTAGATTTGTCTTACTGGGATTTGATAGAGATAACTATTGATAAAAGTACATACTAAACCGGACCATTACAATTTGGCTAAACCCGTAGGGCAAACTTCTACAATCTGAAAACTATCCAAGGGGTAATTTCAAAAGCCTCGTAGTAGTTTTAACTTTGGTCGGATATCTTACAGCAAGCAAAGGTTGCGCCCAATCAACTTTCTCCTTCAATTTCCCCTCGTTTATCACTGGCATGGCTGAGTTAATGTAGTTGTGGATGAGATTCGGCGCAACTACTAACCGAAGGTTTCGCTTCCCCCCATACGGTTTCCTACCGTGTTTGTCTCATACAACCCTTTTTCTAAATCTCAACAGTATTCCACCAATACTGTTGCCCCTCGAATAGTGTCTATACCGCTGTTGAGGTAAGAATTTTGGTGCTCTTTTTCACAAGGTATGCTGGACTTCATTCTTTGAATTTAGAGCAGTTTCCTTCCTCTAAGGTAAATTAAAATCAGTTCTTAGGTGTAGCTCCTGGATCCGGCTGCTGCACGATTGACGTGCAGAGTGGGTTTAGCCCTTTAGGTGTTGGCGGGACTTAATGGACGCCATTCCACACACCAGCAGCACTAAATACGCCCTCTTCTACGCCACGCCCACATCTATTTCTCTGTATTTTTTGGATTTTCACTGTTCTTAATTACCCACCTTCTGAAAAGTCTCGGTTCTGTCTCTTCAGACAACTCCTCCACGCCCAAACGGAACATGGAACAGTGACGGACAGGTCATGTGTTGCGGCCACTTTAGTTCTTCGCAATCTGTTAATGGGGACAAAGACAGACTAATAGTTGCATTAGTGAACGATTTTTTTCTCTACTGTAGGAAAAAGAGAGAGCGCAACCACAAACAATTTAATCCGCCAGCCTAGGTTTCATCTTTTGGTTTCTACTTCACTAGAACACTTTTTAGATTGTTGCGGACGGGAAGGCATAGTTTTATTTGGGTACCTAGGCAGTATTAAGGTTGGTTCAGCGCTCTAACTCATCAGGTAGTACAAGCAGTTGAAGATTGATTTGATTGGCGTCGCCAATAGCCAAATGCTGAGAGGATGCCGAATTGTGAAGGCGATGATATGACTGTCTTCTGCAT